AAACCTTTCGATCTCAGGCTTGAACATGCTCAATGGCAAGGCAAACTCAGCCCTCTCGAGTAGAGAATTCCAAAGATCACTTGATGAATATAATGCTACATTAATGCAGAACAGGAGGCAAGGACCTAGTGGAACTGTTAATCCAGAGACTCAGGTAACGTTCCAGGAGCCTGGGTTCAAGTCCCACCATTGCAGAATTTAAAGGTCTAACGATGACCATGTCAATTGTTGGGGGAGAAGAACCCATCTGGTTCACTAATGTCCTTTAGGGAAGGAAACTGCCATACTTACCTGGTCTGGCCTACATGTGACTCCAGACCCACAGCAATGTGGTTGACTCCTAACTGCCCTCTGGGCAATTAGGGATGGGCAATAAATGCTGGCCTGGCTATTGACACCCTCATGCTGTCAATGAATAAAAAAAGGAGGCTATTCAGCCCAGTTTGTCTGTGCTGGCTCTTTGAAAGATCTATCCAATTTATCTCATGCTCCACTGTCCTGCAAATGGATTTCTCTTCAAGAATGGAATTTACTTTTAAAAAAAGGTGTGGGGTGATGCATTTTTGGAGGATGAACAAGCCAAGGGAGTACACATTGAATTGGGGACCCTCATATGTACAGAGGATCAGCAGGATCTTGCTGTGCATGTCTATAGATTGTCAAAGGCAGCAGAAAAAGGGATAAGGTGGCTCAGAAAGGCATAGAGGATACTTGTCTTTATGAATCAATACAGGGACGTTGTGGTGGAGCTGTGTACAACGTTAGTTAGACCACAGCTGGAGTACTGTGTGCGGTTCTGGTCCCCACAAGGATGTGAATGTACTGAAGGGGGGTACAGAAGAGATTCACCAGGATGTTCCCTGGGCTGGAGCGAATCCACGATGAAGAGAGACTGGGATTGTTTTCCCTAGAGCAGGGAAGGGCTGAGGGGGTGGAATGGGGCATAATCTGAGTGAGGTGTACAAAGATCTCAGGGGCAAAAACAGGATGGATAGGGAGAAACCTTTCCCCTTTGTAGAGTAACCAGGCGATGGTAGAGTTTTAAGGTAAGGAGCAGGAGGTTTAGAGGGGATTAGAGGAATTTGTTTTTCACCTAGACAGTGGTAGGGGTCTGGAACTCATTGCTTGAAAGGGGCAGAGGAGGCAGGAACCCTCACAGCATTTGAAAAGTATTTAGGTGAGCACTTGAAATGCCATTGCATACAAAACTAGAGACCAAGTGCTGGAAAATAGGATTAGCATCGAGATGCTTAATAACCAGCTCAGACACAATGGACGGAAAGGTTTTCTTCTGTGCTGTTAAAAATTCTTTAAGATGCCACCTGAGCAGACTACAATAATTCCATCTGTCAAGAAAATTCTCTTCATCTCTCTGGCACGGTGGCTCAGTGGTTAGCACGGCTGCCTCACGGCACCAGGGACCAAGGTTCAATTCCCTCCTCAGGCAACTGTCTGTGTGGAGTTTGCACATTCTCCCTGTGTCTGTGTGGGTTTCCTCCAGGTGCTCCAGTTTCCTCCCATAATCTAAAGATGTGCAGGTCAGGGTGGATTGGCCGTGCTAAATTGTCCCATAGTGTCCAGGGATGTGTAGATTAGGTGGGTATAGGGGGATGTGTCCTGGTGGGTTGCTCAGAGGGTCCGTGTGGACTTGTTGGGCCAAACGGCCTGTTTCCACACTGCGGGGATTCTTTGATTCCACCCCGGGGGTCCTTTTGCCAATCTGTGTTCCCCCTGGTTACTGCTACTAGGAGGTTTCTCCTCGTTTACCCTACCAAACCCCGTTGTGATTTTAAATGCCTCGATTAAATCTCCCTCTTAACCTTCACTGCTTTGAAGAAAACAATCCCAGACTTCCTGGCCTCACCACATTCACTGAAGTCCTTCAGATATTATTGAATTGGAGAGGGTGCAGAAAAGATTTGCAAGGATATTACCAAGACTGAAGGGTTTGAGTTATAAGAAGAAGCTGGATCAACTGGGACTTCTTTCCCTGGAGCATAAGAGATTGAAACCTTATAGAGGTTTATAAAATCATGAAGAGCATGGATAGGGTGAATAGCCAAGGTCTTTTCCCCAGGGTAGGGGAATCCAAAACTAGAGGGGCATAGGTTTAAGGTGAGAGGGGAAAGATTTAAAAGGGACCCGAGGGGGCAACTTTTTCACACAGAGGGTGGTGCATGTATGGAATGAGCTGCCAGAAGAAGTGGTGGAGGCTGGTACAATTACAACATTTAAAAGGCATCTGGACGGGTTTAGGAATAGGAAGGGTTTAGACGGATATGGGCCAAATGTTGGCAAATGGGACTAGATTTATTTAGGATATCTGGGTTAGCATGGATGTGTTGGACTGAAGGGTCGGTTTCCATGCTATACAGCTGTATGACTCTGTGACGGTAAAATGCTACAACCACCTACAGGGTTTTGAGAAACAGCACAGGAATAGATCATGGGGGAAGGGTGTGAGGAATGGAGTGAAATACTGAGTGCTTACAGGATCACTCAGGTCATAATGCTACAGCTGCTGAGTCATGCATTAGCTTCAATAAATGTTATAATGAAGTGCTTTGTATCCCAGTACAGCTCTGAACCCAGATTAACATGCAGGTAATATTGCTGATTGGCCGGGCTACAACACCGTGATGCAAACAGCATGGGTTCAAGTCCTACACCGACAGAGGATTCTCCTTCTCAACTTCTCCCCTTGCCTCAGGCGTGGCGACCCTCAGGTTGAGACACCATCTGTTGTCTCTCTCTATTGGGAGACCAGTCATACAGCACAGAAACAGACCCTTCGGTCCAACCAGTCCGTGCTGGCCATAATCCCAAACTAAACTAGTCCCACCTTCCTGCTCCTGGTCCATATCCCCTCAAACCTTTTCTATTCATGCATTTATCCAAATGTCTTTTAAACGTTGTAACTGTACCCACATCCACCACTTTGTCAGTCATTTGGTGTGGTAGTCTCAGGTGACTTTACCTGTATTGTTTGAGGTTGGAATATTGAGCACTTAGAGCCCTGGGCTGGCAATGATTCAACACAGACTGGGTGACATCTAAGCCTGTGGATCCCATCTGTTTCAAATCCATCCTTTCCTGAAGGGACGAGAGTCACCCATGCAGACCAGATATCCTAAAATAATCCAGCAGCATTTGGCCCATTCATTTACCCATCCAGATGCGTTTTAAATGTTGTAATTGTACCAGCCTCCACCACCTCTAACCATACACACGCCACCCTCTGCGTGAAAAAGTTGCTCTTCAGGTCCCTTTCAAATCTTTCCCCTCTCACCTTAAACCTATGCCCTGTAGTTTTGGACTCCCCTACCCTTGGGGAAAAGACCTTGGCTATTCAACTTATCCATGCCCCTCATGATTTTATAAACCTCTATAACGTCACCCCGCAGCCTCCGACGCTCCAGGGAAAATAGCCCCAGCCTATCCAGCCTCTCCCTATAGCTCAAAGCCTCCAACCCTGGCAACATCCTTGTAAATCTTCTCTGAACCCTTTCAAGTTTAACAGTATCTTTCCTACAGCAGGGAGACCAGAACTGAACACATTATTCCAAATGTATTCAGAGTCTATTCAGCTCTTCCAGATCATTCAGTGAGATTATGGCTGACCTTCACCCAAATCCTCATTTCCCAAACCCATCTCAACCCAGCTCACAGGCAGTCAGCAAGTCCACATCAGTCAGATAAGGATCTGCATCGCCTAGGACTGGGATACATATCTATTTCCTTTTAGCCTCTGTGTGTAGGACGCAGAAGGGATTGAGGTCCGTGTGGGATTAAATCCCATCTGTCACGTGGAATCTATCAGACACTATCCCCAGCTCTAACGCTGGAACAGATTGCTCTCGTTTTGTATACTCTCCACGTGCTGGGTGTTGAGCCCAAGCAGTGAACCCACCTCTTTTACCCTTCCTCCCGATGAAGGGAATCCCCATCCACCATGTCTAACCCCTCCCCAGCCCCACAGTCTGAGGACACTCGGGTAGACCCCCCACCAAGCCCCAGATCAAACACCAATCAGTGCACACTGACCCAGTTGAGGGAGGGGACAGGTGACTGAGCTCAGGACATTTTGAGTAGCCATCCTTAACTGTTTCTGCAAGGAAGCAGTCCCAGAAACCTGGTTTAGCCCCCTTGAGATTCGAGTAGGGGACAGGGGGAGAACATGCAGCCCAATTTTTGAATCTGGTGTGAGCTATCTATACCTTATTGGCTCAAACCCTGTAATCTCATGTTTACATGAAGGATTATCTACCCCCAACCCCAGTATTAGAAGGTGCTTATGATATTCCAGTGGTGTCTACCTATACCCTATATTTGGAGAAGAGGGTCTAATCAACCCCTGTATCTGACATTTAAACCCACATCCAACGAGGGTATATCTAACCCCTTTAAGGGGCTTATTATATTCCACACACACCCATATTTGGAGAGGAGGGGATGATACCTTATATCTAATGTTTAATCCCACCCCCTACGAGGGTATATCGAGCCCCCTGTATTTGAAAGGGTTTTAACTGCGCCCTGAATTCTAGCGGTGTTTACCCCCTGTATTTTGAAGGGATTCTAGCCCAGTATCGGATGGGGTTTGGAGGGGGAGGGGGATGAAGCTGTCTGGCCCCTTATCCCCCTCCCCACTCGGTCAGGAGGGGGGATAGAGCCTCTATTTTCGTACTTAGCCACTGCACACTCACCCAGTCTAGAGAGTCGCGGGCCAGACCCCGGAAACATTAACCCTTCTGTTTCCCCCACACACACACTCTCTCTCTCTCTCTCTGTCTGTCTCTCCAAGCACACACCATACAGGTCTGAAACCACCACCTCACTTTCACTTTTGGAAAATCCAGTCAAGAGATACAGAACTTTAGAAATTGAAATTTGTCTCGGGATAATTGCCAAGTCTCCCACAGACCTGGACCTCAGGGGGTTGTACAGTCAAGGAGCAACAACAGAACAGAAACATTTTGCAAGGCACTTCACTCACTCACCCCAGCTGGAGCCAGTCCTGCCGAGAAACTCCCGGCTCCTTGGGTTCCATAAGAACTCTCTCCACTCGTGCATGCTCTGTCCACAGGATTTCTTCATCTTAGGGGCCATCTTCGCTACAGTTACAAGTGGTCGAGACAAATACAATTGGGGTGAAAGTCAAGAAGGATGATTGCGGACCAACGCGGCAGATCATGCGCTTTGCAAAGCCAGGAAGGACCAGACTGATTGTCAAAAATGCGGCTGAACCTTTTTTTCTATAATCCTCCTCCTGCTTACCATTCATACGTGCAAATCCTCTCCCCACCCTCCTCCATTAATATTCAGCTGTCCGCACATTTTCATGAGGCTCTGAAATCTATTTTCTTTCACGCCTCCCAAGCACTTCCCCTACAGCCCCAGCCCCCAAAGGCTGGAAAGGTTCTCGGGGCTATTAGACTTCAGAAGGCTTCACCCCACCCTCATAGAAACAGACAGAAAATAGGGGCAAGGTGTAGGCCATTCGGCCCATCGCCATTCAATAGGATCGCAGCTGATCGTTACTGTTCCTGGCTTTCTCCTAAGAGCTATATCCAACTCCTTCGTGAAAATATTCGATATTTTGGCCCCATGCGCTTTCTGTGGCAGATTATTCCACGGGCTCCCACTCTCTGGGTGAAGACATTTCTCCTCATCTCTGTCCCCTACCTGGTCTCCTTTAGGCTGTGACACTCCAGCCCAAACCCCACTTGGTTCTAAACTCCCCTGCAACATCCTTTACCCTGTCTAGTTCTGTTAGAATTTTATAGGTTTCTATGAGATCACCAGCAACCTAATTCTCACTCTGTGGACTTCGGATGCGTTAGGGACATTCAGCTTCCCCCTCAGTCTATTTGGCTGTCCAATTATGGCTGATCTATATCTTAACTCCATCTTCCAGCTTCCTTTCCATAACAAAGCACCCCTTTCCCAGAAGCAACAAAATATCAATGTCAGCTGCTCCCACCGCCCCCCAGCTTTATTTTTTGAGTGGGGTTAAGAATTCCAGATTTCTCCCCTCTATCTGTGTGAGGAAGTGTATCCTGACATTGATCCCACAATCAGTTGTATTTATAAACACGAGTCACCTTCGCCAAATTTTCACCATGTTGCAGTCTGTGGGATCTTGGCTGCCATGTTTCCTACCTTCCAAAACTCTCGAAACCTCCAAAATTAAAATGTTTTTCATCATCAGCCACTGACCGTCTCCAATAAGAGAGCATCTAACCAACGCACCTTTGACATTCAATCAATCTCTCCATCCCCATCACTGCCAACATCCTGGGGGTTACCATTGACCAGAAACTTAACTGGACTCACAAACGAACATGATGACTACAAGAGATGGCTCCCTTCCTGACTCCCCAAAGCCTGTCCCACCATCTAAAAGGCACAAGTCAGGAGTGTGAGGGAATACTCCCCACTTGCTCTGGATGGGACCAGCTCCGACAACAGTAAAGAAGCTCAACGCCATCCAGGAAAAAGCAGCCCCCCGCTCGATTGGCACCACATCCACAAACATCCCACTCCCTCCACCACCGACGCTCAGTAGCAGCAGTGTGTACTATCCACAAGATGCACTGCAGAAATTCACCACAGATCCTCAGGCAGCACCTTCCAAACCCACGACCACTTCCATCCAGAAGGACAAGGGCAGCAGGTACATGGGAACAGTATCAGTTTTTTTCACCCAGAGGGTGGTGAGAATCTGGAACTCACTCCCTCACATTGAAGAAGTATTTAGATGTGCATTTGCAATGCCAAGACATACAAGGCTATGGGCCAAGTACTGGAGAATGGGATTAGCACAGTTAGGTGGTTGTTTTTGACTGGAAGAGACATGATGGGTCAAAAGGCCTTTTTCTGTGCTGTTGAGTTCAGTGACCAGCCATTGCAAAGCCCCCTCTGAGCCACTCCCCATCCTGACTCAGAAATATATCCCTGTTCCTTCACTGTCACTGGGTCAGAATCCCTGGAATTCCCTCCCTAAGGGGCATTGTGGGTCAACCCACAGCACATGGACTGCAGGGGTTCAAGAAGGCAGCTCACCCCACCTTCTCAAGGGGGCAATCAACCAACAGCTTTCACATCCCGTGAGTGAAGAAAAACATCAGGTCTGTTGGGGTTTCCCGAGGCAGAGGTATGAAAGAAATTTGTCACATGATCCTCTGGAGGTCATATGCCACCTTTAGCTTACCTCTTTTAATATAAGTCATTCTTAAAAAGATTTCTGTGTCCTAAATTGAAAAGCTCAGTCAAGCTGCCTGTGAGCACAATATTTTTCAACAGCCTGAGAACAGGGAGAACGATTCAGACTGGAGCGAGACAGAGAGAGGAGAGTGACACAGATCTCATTTCATAAAAATGCCAACATTGATAGTTGTCTGAAAGACAGGAAGGAGAATAAGAGACGCCATGGTTACCAGAGCTGGCCTAGTGTGTGGTGTGGTCAGCATTGTGATGCCACCCAGGGTTGAGCAGCTCATTAACGCGGCAGAAGAACGCACCCTCCCTGTCAAAGGTGGTGGGGATGCTGGGAGTGGACGGTGAAGTCACTTTGGGAATGTGGTGTGCTAAGGCGGAGACTCCCATCACAAACCCCTCATACAACAAGAGGGGCACGCAATGCTTGTGGAACTCAAGCAACCGGCTCTACCCTATTCCTGAGGTGTCGTCCCCACGGCCAGACGGTGCCCAGGCCTTTCTTCACTCGGCACTCAACGTTTCCCTTCGTTCAGCAACTGAGAGAAACGGCATTTCATCCAAATCCCCTCAGCCCTCCAGTGTACAATCTCACTGTCCCATTGTCTCTCCCTCGCTGCTCGGAAATCAGCCACCCACCATGGCACCTACACCCCTCCTCCAGTCCCTACATCCTCTCCCTATCTCTGTCACCTCCTCGGGTCCCCTACACCCCCTCCCTATCTCTGTCACCCCCTCCAGCCCCTTCAACCCCTCCCTATCTCTGTCACCCCCTACACCCCTCTATATCTCTGTAACCCCCTCACCCCCTACACCCATCCCTATCTCTGTCATCTTCTCCAGCCACTACACCCCCTCCCTATCTCTGTCACTCCCTTCAGCCCCTACACCCCCCTCCCTATCTCTGTCACTCCCTCCAGCTCCTACACCCCCCTCCCTATCTCTGTCACCCCCTCCAGCCCCTACACCTCCTCCCTATCTCTGTCACCGCCTCCAGCCCCTACAACCCCTCCATATCTCTGTCACCCACTACACTCCTCTATATCTCTGTAACCCCCTCACCCCCTACACCCGTCCCGATCTCTGTCACCTCCTCCAGCCCCTGCACCCCTCCCTATCTCTGTCTCCCCCTCCAGCCCCTACACCCCCTCTCTATCTCTGTCACCTCATCCAGCCCCTGCACCCCTCCCTATCTCTGTAACCTCCTCCAGCCCCTGGACCCCTCCCTATCTCTATCACCTCCTCCAGTCCCTACATCCCCTCCCTATCTCTGTCACCCCCTCCAGCCCCTACACCCCTCCCCATCTCTGTAAACCGCTCCAGCCCCTCACCCCCTCCCTATCTCTGTGAACCCCTCCAGCCCCTACACCCCCAACCTATCTCTGTAACCTCCTACAGCCCTCTACACCCCCTCCCTATCTTTGTCACCCCCTCCAGCCCCTACACCCCCTCCCTATCTTTGTCACCTCCTCCAGCCCCTGCACCCCTCACTATCTCTGTTGCCTCTGCCAGCCCCTACACCCCCTCCCTATCTGTAACCCCTCCAGCCCCTTCACCCCTCCCTGTATCTGTAACCCCCTCCAGCCCCCTACACCCCTCCCTATCTCTGTCACCACCTACACCCCTCTATATCTCTGTAACCCCCTCACCCCTACACCCCTCCCTATCTCTGTCACCTCCTCAGCCCCTACAACCCCTCCCTATCTCTGTCACATCCTCCAGCCCATACACCCCCTCCCTATCTCTGTAACCCCCTCCAGCCCCTACACCCCCTCCCTATCGCTGTCACCTCCTCCTGCCCCTGCACCCCTCCCTATCTCTGTCACCTCCTCCTGCCCCTGCACCCCTCCCTATCTCTGTAACCTCAGCCAGTCCCTACACCCCTCCCTATCTCTGTCATCCCCTCCAGTCCCTACACTCCTCCCTATTTCTGTCACTTCCTCCGGCCCCTACACCCCTCCCTACCTCTGTCACCTCCTCCAGCCCCTTACATACCCTCCCTATCTCTGTCACCTCCTCCAGCCCCTACACCCCTCTGATTTTCCCTTTTTGAGGATCTTTGCATTTCGCTGACGGAAGATCTGCTATTTTGAAGGTTCTGCCTAAATGCAAGCTGTCCTTTGATTGCATTGTAAGCATTCTACATGACAAACATCAGTTACAGAGAGTCACTGCACCATCGGAATGTCAGTGCTGAGGGAGCGGGGACTGTCAGAGGGTCAGTGCTGAGGGAGCGGGCACTGTCAGAGGATCAGTGCTAGGGAGCAGGCACTGTCGGAGGGTCAGTGCTGAGGGAGCGGGCACTGTGGGAGAGTCAGTGCTGAGGGAGCGCCGCACTGTTGGAACTCAGTGCTGAGGGAGTGCCGCACTGTCGGAGGGTCAGTGCTGAGGGAGTGGGCACTGCCGGAGAGTCAGTGCTGAGGGAGCGCCGCACTGTCGGAGGGTCAGTGCTGAGGGAGTTGGCACTGTCGGAGAGTCAGTGCTGAGGGAGCGCCGCACTGTCGGAGGGTCAGTGCTGAGGGAGCGCCGCACTGTTGGAGGGTCAGTGCTGAGGGAGCGGGCACTGTCGGAGGGTCAGTGCTGAGTGAGTGGGCACTGTCGGAGGGTCAGTGCTGAGGGAGTGGGCACTGTCGGAGGGTCAGTGCTGAAGGAGCGCGGGCACTGTGGGCAATAATTTGGCTGAATCGATAATCTCAAGTGTATCAGCGGGCAGTAACATTCTCCTCAGCCTTGTATTTTGACAAGTGAACCAGGCACGTTCTCCCTGGTTCCACTGAAGTTACTGCAGGGTCCCTGAACTGATGTCGCTAAATTTAGTCACCTTTGCCTTTGTGATGCTGATGCATTTGGATCTTGCTGCATGCAGGTTGGGTGCTGCATTTCCAGTATTACCGAGTGGTCTCACAAAGTACCCCCTCTGGCAGCTTCGACGCAAACTGAAGGCGCTGAAA